CTCGTCCAGATCACTGATAAAGATATTAAAGAGAACGTGGCTCCATCCAGTAGCTCCGAGCAGCCAGGGGCTGCTCTACTCTGGCCTGTCTGCCCTACTCCATGGCTATGTCCTCAGCGTTTCTCTTCCACCTCTCTTGGCCACCTTCTCCCAGCTGCACTCTGTTCCCAGGGGCTCCTCAGAAATTTGCAACCTCCTTCTCCTTTCCGTCCCCAGAAACCCTCTTGTTAGTTGGAGAAATACCAAAGGGAGAAAGACAAAAAGCCATTAAGTAATAGTGCTTAATGGAACAAAACTACCAATAAATGCCAGTGTTTAGGAAGTAACTTCTACCTAAGCAAACAGCATCGTTTATTTCATGTGCTTAAAATATTTTCACCCTCTTCTTCCTTTACTCATGGGATTTTTGTCTCCATTAGAAATTGGCAGGTAAGAGCGAAGAAAGGGCTGTAATTATTGCAATGAGTCTTCCTTATCTCATTTCCCAATAATAAGTACAAGTAAATATGCACATGCATGCACTAGGACTGAAGTGTTATCAAGCTCTTATGGGACAGAAAGGATAGCTTCATGATGGTACTTATTTGAATCAAGAAATTTAGAGTTATTACTTGCCTCTGAAATAATGGCAAATACCATCAATTCAGGAACCCAAAAGGTACAGTGTATAAGGAATATTTAAACCAAACCTAAACACAAAGCTAAGTGAAAAATATTACAATAAAATACAACTTAAAGTTTCCTTACACTATGAGCTTTCAGCAAAGTTGATCTTTGTACCACCCCACACAAATCTCTCTCATAATTCAACTTAACTGACGATAACATATCATCTTATTTACAGGAAAAGCAGGAAGATATGAATGCCTAAGTGCTGGTAAATCCCATTTTAAAAATCTGTACTGTAGAACAGTAATAACACATCAGTAAAGCAGATTAAGAATCATCTGACCAACGGATCTCAAAACAAAGTAACCAAAGGGAAATGACTGCTGATTGGAAAGGCTCCTGGCTGGATTTGCAGAGTGTCATCAGGCATATTTACTCACAAATAAATGCAAACTCACTGCAAAAGAAATTTGCAGACAGCAAAAGCTTAGTAAGAGTGGCAAGTAAGGACAGCAAAAAGTCACAGGAACAAGTGGTGTATATTAGTAAAAAAGGTAACAAGAAGACAAATAAAAATCTACTCCAAGTTGTATTTTATACTTTCCTGTTCTGAAAACTTGTTATTCATAAATTTGGGGTTGAACAAAATAGACAGGCATCTTCATAAGCAAAATAAGCAATTACAGATATGGAAAATACCCTTGATATGGATGCAAAATTAAAATCAGCATCTTCTAGAGAACATAAAGTACTGAAGGAAGCAGTATGTAAGTGCACAGTTTTGAGAAAAACAGAATACAATCTAAGCTTAAACATTTCAAGAAGTATGTTTATAAATGAACCTGTTTTATTAATGCAAAATGCTGACTTCACCTTTTGATAGTTCAGATCTTGAAAAACAAGTCAGTCACAAAAACTGTCAGTGAAAGAATTTCAACATCATGATCAGAAAAATGAGTTTAATTTCTCTATGGCAAAAAGTATTCTGAAAGAAAGTAATAAGTGCACAAAGCTACTGGAAAAATGAATATTACTTGGTCTCTGAAAGCATTGTGTGGTACTGTAAATATTATTTGTGCCTGTGGTGACTGTGAATGCAGTGGTTTTGTTCAGTCTAAGTCTAGAAAAAAGCTAACGCTGAGTTAGCTGAGTGCAGGTCAAAATAAAAAGGAAATATAGCACAATGGGCTTTAAAAACAAACAAACAGAAAAACCCCATCCCAAGTAAAATGGAACCAAGAAAAAAAACAAGTCATGAATTGCTCCAGCTTATACCACTGCTTTTCAAGAATGAATGCCCTAGTGAATAGCTTTTAGATTCAGCACAGATGCAACTGCATGAAATTTTATATCCTGACATACCAATATGGTCAGTCGAAATTACTAGGATTTTGTAGCGTTAAAATATATCCACTGATGATTCAGGAGTGCCTTTTTTCAAACAGTTCAGCTTTGTGAGCTATCACTAGAGGAGCATTTTTGTTGGTTTACTAGGAATACTTTACAGCAGGCATCTTTATTTATTACTTGTTCACTTGTGTATTTTGAAGAATACTTCTCTTGCCCTTCAACTTACAAAAGCAACAAAAAAGGAAACAAAGCAATTCTTCCTATCTAAAACTCAACCCATCCCCTTCTGCTTTCTAATAGGCCTTTCAGAAACAGGTTGAGTAAACAGAAGGCTTTACCAGGTGCAGGAACATTTAACACTGCTTTTGCAGGACTAAAGGACTGTCAAAGAAGAAAGTCTCAGGAGTTAAGTAATCTTGAATATAAAGGATAGTCTAGTAACACATTTGTATAGTGACTTTAATTTTGCAGAAGTATAAAGAGAATGTCAGCCTAAAGCAACTCAGCTAAACAAAACCTAGAATTTATCTGACTATTGAATAAGAAGATGCATAGATTAAAATTATCTTGAACTGTGCGTATTAGAAAATCTCTACACGCTATTTTAAAAAAACTAATTGAGTTATAGTATAACAGCTTACCTTTAAATATTTTTCTAGTCTATCTTCAAAATTTTGACAGAGAACATAATAGTTAAGAATCATTTTTAAAAGCCAGTATGTAAGCAAGTAATTTCTACTTGTTAATGTGAAGGAAGTGCTTTCACAAAAACAGAACTACTTCATCCAGTAAAAGAAAAGAGTAGTTCTTAGACTCACATGAAGGAAAAAATATTCCACTCAGCTTCTCAGTGCATATACCTGCAGTACTGGACTGTTAGTGTTGATTACTTACATTTAGTCACATCAATCATATGAAAAAAATACAGTTTACTAAGCATAAGGTTTTTTAAGTTAACTATTTAAAATATATTTAGGCTTGGGTGAATTATCACATCTTGGAGATACAGAGCCATGGATAAATAAGGTGAACTCCAATTTCAGTTACCTGAGGTTTCAACTCCTTTAAAACTTATACTATCATACTTTTGCTTTGGCTCAAACATCAAATGTAGGGTTAAAAACATAATTTCATTTATCCCTTATATTTCAAAGTGTGTGGGGGGGTCCTCTGTAAAGGCTGGTTTCATAATTTTGGATTCTAGTAACAAGTTCTTGTAACTCAAGACAAAAAAAGAAATTGGAATTGGACAATGCAAGCTAACCAGTGTTACTTTAATGTAAATCATACTTGGACTCCTACAGTACATTTGACCATCAGATTATGTTTAAAACAGAGAGTTCTATCAAAAGACATAAAACAGTAATAGAAGGTTAAGTGCACCATTTTTCAGCTCAATTAGAAATGAAAGATGGGGAAAAAATTGAATAAAAGAAAAAGCTTTTTGGACATACAAGCTTCTTTGTTTAAAAAGTGGTTATGGAACTGGGGGAAGATCTTTCTGTGAATGCTTTTTTTTTTCCCTCTTTGGTCAAAATGCAGCTTTTTACTCAAAGGGTTCTAATATACAGACTTTGTAGAGGCTATTTTGTTCTTACTCTGTTTCCCTATTTGAAGTACACTAAGACAGCACATAGGGATGTGGTTTAATGCCAGACTTGGCAGTGTTAGGTTAACGGATGTACTCTGTGATCTTAAAGCTGTCTTCCAACCTAAAGGATTCCATGATTCTAAGAGCACACACAAGATCCCAGAGTGATGCACTATCAGCAGCATTAATTTTCAGACCTCATTTTTCACAATATTAACTGGATGCAAGTAGAAAAGAGTCTTGAAAAAGCTAACACTTCCATCAGTGGGGTCTGAAAAGATCGAGCCAGCACTAGTCTGTCTGTTCTCAGTTGCGTGACCATAAGACCAGGTTGTGTTTTAAATACATCTAAGGAAGACTGTTTTCTTACAGATTTATCTCCTGCGTGACATATTCCAACCTAGACATAACCCCTTCACATCGCCTACAATCGCTCACGCAGACACCTGGAATAGTCCTGCAGATAACCCTTTCTGCCATGTCTGCCTGTACAGACCTTGTCTTTGTCCCCTCTTGCTAAAAGCAGCTTACATTCCAGACACCACTCCATAACTTGTGCGCTCACAGGCCTGCTGGAGAAGTCACACAGACTGCTGGGCTCAACCAACGCTTCTCCAAGAGACAGGACATTCATTCGGGCTTTTATCCTCCTCTACCCAGCTTGCAGTTTTCAAAGACTTTCCTGAGACCTTTAGCACTGCTCCGATAGACAGAAATATGCCTCATTACCTTAAACCAGGCTAAAAAGAAAATTTGTTTCTAGACGTCTCTGATACAAATCATATCACAAAGTACCACATTGGAAGATGCTGAAAATCTCAAATTTATAAACCATGTGAAAGATAGGTATGTTGATTAATGTTAAAACAGAAACTGTGTTCGAAGAATGGCTTAATGTCATCAGCTGCTTCAATAATACTGGGATTAGCTTATGTTTGTGTGGTTGAAAACTGCAGAACTATTCAGGTAAATACAATAGTATTGCTTCCTTCTAGATGTATTTAAAATGGCAATGCAATGATCTTTTCACAGGAACACTGAGAAAAATAATGCACACTTTTTTTATAATTTTACGATGAGCTACATCCAGGTACAACTATACAGGAGTTGTGACTCTCAAGAAAAAGCATCAGTCCTCAGCAAAAAAAGTGACAGCTGAAAGGCACAGACCCAAGAGGAAGGAAAAAGGCTTATATAAATCATGTTTAGCTTTTCACAATGCTTAGGACAAGTATAATTTTAGAGGGCTGACTCCTGATAATCGATTGCTTGGTGCCAGCAGTACACAAAAAAACCTTTTAACCTTGACGCTGTATATATCTTCTTTTTTAATGCTTTGAGTTTCACAACTCCCATTCTGCTTCAGCCCTTTTCTCCTTTGCAGGACCCTCAGCTGCATTTACATTATCCTAAATACGGTGCACTGAGAGTAGTACAAACATCTACTTACAGGAATCATCCAGTTGGCCAGGTCACCGTACTTAGACACCTGCATAGCTCCAAGCATTGTCAAATCAACATGGCCTCTGGCAACAGAAAGTGTGTAATTAGCATATCATGTTCATGTAACAGCCCACAAATCTTAACAAGCTTTTGTTCACATTCTCATTACATCAGTATAAAAACAGTGGCATACCACAGAGGTAGCAACCATTTTGTCACATGTGTAGTTGTTTTTTCTCCCATCTAGATATATTGCTGATGCAAATTTTTCTGTCTGCCTACTGAGCCTCAAAAATGTTATTACTTTTGTCTGGTTTTGGTTAATTGCATGCACAGTCAATCAGCTCTGAACTCATACTTTTAAGAGCACTCCTTCACGTATTTACATGCACTCATTATCTTTTCAGAGCCATTAGGATTTAGTGTTTGTTTGCATCCAACCTCCTTCCCGAAAAACAAACAAAAAACAGGTGCAGACGGTGAATTTCCATTAGGGAGGTGGAACGAGGATCACAGTTGCAAGCTGAGCAAAGAGAATATACAGAGTGCACGTACAGATTAGATACTTGGAAATGACCAAAAAGTAGTTGTTAAAACATAGTTATAAATGTGTTTATATATGGCCAGGTGGTGGTAGACATGAACATCACTACAGTATCTATTAGTTACAGTGTTTTTCTATTTCCAATAGCTAGACCTAATCCTCTGTAAACCATCACTGATTAAGTCCATGATCATTTTACAGGGTGTTAAATGCTAACCACATTTCAAAGAATTACTAATGAGTTCAGTCACTGACTCAGTTTATTCTTTTCATGTTTCAAAAGATCAGGGTTTGTGTTATTACATACCCTCTTATCATTGCAAATGATTCATCGCTAGAGAAATAGGAAGAACCTGGAAGAACAGTGACTGTCTCCTTACCTGTAAAAGAAATAAGCTACAGTATGTATGGTTTTTGTCTCTTTGACAAATGCAGTTAGAGCCATTAACCAAGAAATAAGGAGGTTTTTATCAAATTCCTTTGGATTCTGTACAACTATGGACCTGATTACATTTACTATGTCACATGTAAACCTAATCAATCATAATGAATTGTGAAGCAGTTTTTGTTACAGTGTTTAATGACAGGATTGCCTGCTCTTTGACCACCAGCAGTTCCAGCCAAGACAGCACTGACACCAGAGACTAAGAAATCTCTGTAGACTTCAGCCTTCTGCTCTATCCACAGAAAAAGCATCCAGACCTTCAGAGACTGCCTGGATTGTCTTTCC